CGAGCTTGGAATGACATATACAATAGCAAGATCATCAGTACTGGTTCTTCATGTGGACGCGGCATTCATTTTATTTCCAGTTTGTAGAAATTTAATTTCATTGGTTTGAGCAACACCATTAAACAATGTGATTTCATTTGATAAGAATATCCAGTTCCATAAGCTGATTGGATAGTCTTCACCATTGTGCACACAGTTTCACATTGGGTAAATTTTTATCGATTGGCAATTATTGTACATCAAAGTGGTGTAGTCAATTTTCTCAAATTAAATTTTACCTCAGGACCTGGGGTCATGGATATGTGATGTTTATATGTTTATTGATAATGGTGTCTACTTCAAGTAAAAAACCTAGAGCTCGAAACCTTAATACATTTTGGTTTCTTCATCATTTGTTCATACCCTTTTGTGGGTTTGAGCTTTTCATGGTGCGCTTTGTATGATCCAACCTGACGGGGCACCATTTTATGATTATATAGCAAGTTTTGGAAGTGCTGGATCGCATCTGGTGTGATTTACATTGATGAACGTGTATTATGTGAAGTACATCCCAAGCAAAAAAACGGATATTTCAAAAGTTATAATGCATTGTTGAAATTAAAATGAAAAAAAAAGGCATTATGACTAAAGCAGGCCAATATGTCTTTATATGTTGTCCAGAAATTTCAGTACGGGAATGGCATCCATTTACATTAAAATCAGCATCCGAAGAAGATTATGTTTCAATAAATGTTAGAATGTTAGAAGAAAATTGACATCTAAACTTGGTTGTGATTATGGGGAAGAAGCGAAACTACGTGGAAAAAACAAGGATTGTTTAAAAAGCATTTACAATTACAACAAGAGTTGCCCAAAATTATGGTTGATGGACCTTATAGCGGTGCTTCTGAAGACGTAATTTAAATTTGAGGTTTCTATTCTTATTGGTGCTGGTATTGGTGTTACACCTTTTGATAGAAAAGTATTTGGTATGAAAATATTTTTTTAAATTTTGAAATAAGTTTTTTTTTATCAATATAAATTAATCAATCAATCAATGATAGTATCGTATCCCTTACTTAACAAAATCTACGCACCTTTGTAAAGTTTATTTTTTCTGGGTTAGTCATGATTATGCAGTATGTAACATAATATAACATATAAATTATTTTAATTTATAATGAGAAAATAATAACTAATATTCACTCTTCTCTTCATCTGCCCACCCACTCATTTACCCACAAACCTACTCATTTGCTAGTCGTTTGAATGGTTCCAATCACTATTAATGGCAATAGAAGAACAAGATATTGATCAATTTATAGAGATACATACATATCTTACTGTTCCACTACGTAAATCAGAAATTGCAATACATTTGCTAATGATGATGGAAATCTTAAGGACACCATCACCGGTCTATAATTACCAACTCATTTTTGCAGGCCAAATTGGGATAAGATAATTTTTAAATATGAGATCTGAAACTGATGTTGGTGTGTTTTTTTTGTGACCAAAAGCACTTGATAAAACTTTACATGACAAACTTAATTTATGGAATGACGTATCTGATAGCAGTACAAGATTTTTTTTTTTTTTTTTAAAAAAAAATTTATTATATTTAATTATCATATAATGGATTATATAAATTATATAAAATGTTTGTATTTATAATATAATGTACAATATATACATTTATGTACTAATAATTTCAAAAAAATTTATAAAATCAGCCCATCAAATTTTTTTTACCTCCAACCACCAGATGGATCATAATCCCAGCCATATGCTTCGGTTACTGTTTCAACTCCCCGTCTTGTTTCAGTTGTCCATCTTGATTCAGCATTTTCCTTCCACTTTATAACTTCATATGTTGTTGTATGGGATTCAATTGTTGCATTGGAATTATCAAGTTTGTCAGCAAATACTTTTGCAAGTGAATATATTTTCTTAGAAGATCTAATTAATGGAAACCTACAAATTTCTATCACATAATTATCAATGTTGTTGTAATCCCATTGACCCTCCATAAATTCTGAATCAATTGCTGATCCATTAAGAATCCAACAAATTTCAAGATCATCTAAATCTTCCAAAAGTGTGAAATGAAATATTTTTACAAAATCTCTTATAATTTCACCTGATAATGTAGCAAGTTCAGTTTGTTTTCGTTGATCTATAATTTTTCTATATTGACTTATATGTTGATCAAGCAATTGTTTATTAAATTTAATAAATCCATGTTCTTTATTGTCATTATTATCATTGTATCCTACTGTATACAAAAGATCAAAAACAACTTCACGTATTTTTTTTAATGACGATGATGATGATGATGAGATGTGGTCAAGAAAGGTGGTGAGAGATGAATTATTATTATTTCGATTTTTAACTAATTTGGTTGCTTTATCATGCAACTTGCTTCTCCATTCATATGGATCAGATTCAAATGAATAATCATATAATTTGTTTGCCAATTCATATAAATCATATCCAAGTCCCGAGATTTGTATTGATAAGTATCACTTCCAAAATCTTTCAATAATTCAATCAATTTGTCAAAAACTGCTCTTTGCAATAAAGCCTTAACCAATGGTTTGTTCCTTTGTATTTCTTTGGTTCCAGTTACATAATTATATTTTATTAAAAGATTATCTATATTGTTATAATCAAGCTCTGCAGTACTAGTTCTTAAATTTGTAATATAACTCTGAATTTTATCTTGCAATTCAGAAAAATCTTGTGAAAACTAAATTGACTTCTGATTTTTAAATATATGTGATGTTCCTACTGATGAAAATATATATGGCATTTCTGTTGATGTTGTTTTTGTTGATGGTGGTGTTGTTGTTGATATTGTTGATGTTGTTGATGGATTTGATGATGATGATGATATTGTTGATAATAACTACTTTAAATCATTTATATTCTTATCTCTATCTTTAATTTTTTGATTTAATAATGTTACTCTTTTTTTATTATTTACAACATTACGATCATGTTGAAGTTGTAATTCTGAATTATGTTTTTTTAATCTGTTCAACTGACTGACATAATGATTATTTTGTTTTTCATATAATCCTTCATTTATAGCTATTTGTGACAGTAGCTTTTCTTTTGAGTTATTATATTCTTGAACTAAATCATTATATTTAGCTACTAGCGTTGAATAAAGATTTTGATATTCAATTGTTTCTTTTCTTAATTTATCATTTGCAGCATCTTTTTCTGACATTTTTGAATTTAGATCATTATTGTTATTTGTTAGAGTGATATTATTAAACCTAAGTACTGTTATTGATTTCTTAAATTCTGCAATTCTCTTTAATTAAATCATTATATTCATCTTTAATTTGCAAAATTTGTTTTGATAAATTTTCTTTTTCTTCATTAAAAGTCAAAAACGTTTTACCATGATCATAAATTTTTGCAACATCATCTAAAAAACTTTCCAAAAATTCTCTGCTAAGTTCTTCGTTATTATTGGTGCTACTATTGCTGCTATTGTTGTTAAAGACACTATTATTAGTGTTAGTCTTATTACCACTATTATCACTGTTACTGTTATTATTACTATTATTGCTGCTACTATTATTATTTATGATATTTTCTGGATCATCTACATCAATTAAAGCTTCTAAAAATATATTATTTTGGTTCTGTTCATTCTGATTCTCATTCTGTTGGTCCTGTTCGTTTTGTTGATTTTGTTGTTGATTTAGTTGATTTTTTTTTTTTCGGCCCATTACATACAATTAAAGTTGGGGAGTAAGTAATGTTACGCATAATCAAGCAAAATTAATTAATTACCTTGGATCTGTTTAAACCAGTACAACGTCAATTGATATTTTTTATTTTTTTTTGAATGGGAATTTTGATACAAAAAAAGGTTTTTGATGTTTCACGAAAATGGTTGCGTTGTATAACATTGATCATTGATAATTGATAATTGATAATTGATAATTGATAACCTAATTGATAATTGATAACAATAATGATCATTGATCATTGATTGCTCACTTTTGCATTCTCATTGTAAACTTGTTTCTGTTTGTAATACTAATTAATTACTATTCTTTTTAGAGACATGTCAACAGTCTATCTAGAGATAAAGCGCCTTACTTTAAAGTTCTCTCAAGAATTACCTAAAGAGGATCTTACTAAATAACCGCCTATATCAGTGGGGATGTCAATCGAGCAAATCAGGTAGAGCAAGCCCTAGCTGTCTTTGATACTGATGAAGACAAATGCAATTACTTGAGAACTTATTTGGACTTTTTGAAGCCTGGTATGTTCCCACAGTAATTTAATCAAAGTATAAAATAAAACTTTTTGTTGGCTGTTGCTTCGTTTTTGTCTGCATTATTTTATATATATATAGATATCTCCAACAAGCGAAGAAGAATTGGTGATAGCAATGAAGAACTGGGGGCTTGGAACGCTTTGAAGAGTGGAACAAAAGAAAACCAGTTTCTTCGGTTGTCTAAAGAGGCCTCCTATATTTTAGGTGATGATGATAAAGGTTCCAATCCACCTGCTCTGTTCATCCGTGATTGCTATATTCACCTTTCAGAGATTATTCTTGAGGATGACAATATCCGCCGTTTGCGTATTACTGGCAATCCGGGAATTGGAAAGACCTTCTTTGGTTATTACCTACTTCATCTGCTTGCAATGCGAAATAAGACAGTTATATATCACAAATGTAACAAAACACCAATTCTTTTCAGTGAAGAAGCTGTTTATCATATTTACCAAGATAATATTTATGAATTCAATGATTTTCTGATGAAAAGAGATGTATGGTATATTGTGGATGGCCGAGAACCATCAGATATTCATGCAAAGACAATTCTTATCTGTTCACCCCAGAAGCATTACTATCACAAATTCGACAAGCTTGGTACAATTATTCGGTATATGCCAGTGTGGTCATATGTAGAAATCAAGAAATGCAAAGATAAACTTTTTCCTGATCTTAATCAAGAATTGGTTCAAAGCTTATACAATAAATGGGGCGGGATTCCTCGTTATACATTGTATTATGCGCTTAATGATAGTCAACAAGATCTTCTCCAAATGGCAATTAGCACTGTTAATCAAAGAATATTGAACTTTGTTGGTGAAACCACAGATGATGATGATACCAGACACAGAATTGTACATATCTCTACAAATGTACCACAAGCAGGGGAATGTGAGGAAGGTGTAGTAGAAGTGGAAGTAGAAGAAGAAATAGGTAATATACATGAATCTTCTATATCAAAAACTTCCATGGTAACTAAACTAGATAAAGGTAAAGGTAGTGCAGTAATTAAACCGGAAATGGGAAAAGATAGACCTTTTTATACAATGTCAATCCTAGAGTTTGCATCTGATTATGTTTCCGAGAAGGTAGTAGGTAGACTCACAACTCATTATAGAAATCAGTTGCTGAATTTTGTAGAAAGTAGTTCGTTAATAAATGAATACAGTACACTCCGCGGTGCAATATTTGAGCAGATCGCTCATCAGAAATTGCTAAGTGGAAAATCTTTTAGGACTCGTCCTTTATTTGAACAAACTTCTTCCTTTGGGAATGGTAATTCCAGATTTAGATTGCCTGCAAGAGACAAATTATTATTCAACAACATTAAAGAGATTGCACCTAACAAGTACTGTATACCAACTCAAAAAAATTTTGCATCAGTTGATGCAATTATTCACCCCAACATATTTTTTTCAAATGACGATTGCCAAGAATCATCCTATCAACATAAATCGCTTGCGAAAACTTATTAACGAAAATGAAAATTTGGATATTAAGTTTTATTTTGTTGTACCGAAGGAACTGTACAATGATTATCAAGAGCAGGATCTTCATACTCAGCGCAAGACAGTTGTCCAATGTAGACCACTTTGGACTAATCACCTTAAACAATATGTTTTGGAGCTTGATTTAAAATTATAAAATTTTTTATTATTACATGAGATCATGAAATGGTATTTTGCGATATAATTAAAAATAACAAAGATGCATTTATATATTAATTTGCACACATCGGGCTTCTAAATTTATTGCAAACTTAGGCTTGTTGGTGTATGAAATTCGACTGCGTCAATAAATTTTTATAAAAATCTGCATATAATATCCAAATTTGGTTAGCGCATGCACATCCGCACCCTGAATTTCATGACCAAGATTTGAAGATTTTTGAATATTCCAAGCCTCAATTGAAGAATAAACACAATCAACAGCCCCATACAAAGAACATAAATAAAAAACTAGGTGCTTCAGAAAGGAATCTGTAAAAGAAAAAGAAGTTCAAAATAATCAAGATTATCATGAACATCATCATCACAATCACCATCAACTGTCTCGCAACTTGATGGATTTGCATCAAATGTAGCAACCATCACACCCTTGCTCTCCCAATCTTCATATTCTCATCGACTTGAATGTCCAAAATTCATTCATTTATCCTGCCGGTTATGTTAATTGGCACAGCTAGTACAGGGGTTAATTTGCACATAAAAGGACATGCTCATAAAGGTGGTGACAAGATGAGGGAGCAGAATAGAAGATATTAATGAACACTGGTCCTCGTATACTTGTTTCCAACAGACTAGGCTTGTGCGATCCTATAGAATTATCAATGGCAAGATCACTAGTATCAAAATCCATGATGCTGTTGAGTGTATCAACCCATAGTGTATTTCATTCAAGCGTATCCTCCTCATTCAGCAACTGCTATTGCTGTTGCTGGTGCATCAAGATTGCTCTCAACTTCTCATTCCGCTTTACTACTCTTCTCAAAAATCTATTATACAAATCATCAACACCAGTCAATATATATCGTAAAACATTTATTTAACGCACCCTCAATGTTGAAAAGATCCAATGGGAGTGAGTGAGTATCTCCTGGCCAAGAGGATTAACGAAATGGTTTGATCATTCATTATATGATTTTGCACTTGTTAATTAAATAAAAGTCCCGATTTACTATAATATTTATTATAAATATATATAATCTAAAACCAATTTTTAAATATATATACATATATTTCTATCACTATGGTTGTTGCTCTTGTTATAAAACAATTAAATTATTCAAAAATCAATTTCAAAATTTAATATTTAATAATTAATAAAAAAAAAAAAGATTAAATTAAATTTATATTTTTCTAACTATTTAACTAACTATTATTTATTAGCTTTACCAATGGTGAATACTTTAAAACCAATAGAATTTAATTTCTCGGCATCAAGAATAAGACGACCATCAAAAATGAAAGCTGGTTTATGCATTTTTGAATAGATTCTTTTATAATCCAATGTCTATAAAAATCAAGTATTTTTAATGACGAATCAATATTAAATATTTTTGTTAATTGATTAATTGATTGAAACAAACCTTAAATTCATCCCATTCAGTTGTAATAACTATGGCATCAGCATCTTCAGATGCTTCATAAGCTGTTTTGCTAATAGTGATAGATTTCTTTACTATAATAAATAAGGTTTAAATAAATAAATAATTATAAATCACATATATATATACACACGCACACACACATATATGTATGTACCTTCATTGATATTATTGACAACACCAGGTTCAGTCAAATCAAGATGAATTTGTTCTTCGCTAACTTTTGGATCATAAATATGAACTTTGGCTTTTTCTTGAATAAAAGCTTTACATAAAGTGATGGCAGCAGACTCTCTGGTATCACCGGTATCTTTTTTAAATGCAAAACCAAGCAATGCAATTTTTTTGTAGGTAATGGTGTTGAACAATGTTTTGATGATTTGTGAAATAAATCGGTTTTTCTGATATTCGTTTAGATCGACAACAGTTTTCCAATAGGCAGCAACTTCAGGAAGATTTAGTTGCTCAGATAGATAAACCAGATTCAATATATCTTTCTGAAAACAACTTCCACCAAATCCAACTGATGCCTTTAAAAATCTTGGACCAATGCGTACATCTTTTCCACAAGCATATGCAACTTCATCAATATCAGCACCTGTTGCTTCACAAATTGCAGACAATGCATTAATTGATGATATACGTTGAGCTAATAAAGCATTTGCTGCCTATATGTGTGTAAATATGTCATGTAATGCAAATTAAATAATAATTGGATATTAATAATTATAAATATCTTATATATATAAGTATTTACCAATTTTGAAAGTTCAGATGACCATAAATTAGTTGTAATGATACGTTCAGTAGGAACCCAATTAGCATATACTTCTACCAAAGCCTTTTGAGCCTTTGTTCCTTCGGGTGTTTGTAAACCACCGATTAAAACACGATCAGGATTTAATAAATCATTAATTGCAGTACCCTCAGCAAGAAATTCAGGATTCGATAGTATGTCAAAATGAATACCATCCCTGGAGTTTGCTTCTAAAATTGTTCTCATACTTTCTGCTGTACGACATGGTACAGTAGATTTTTCAACTACAATTTTTGAACTTCTTGCCACGTCTGCAATCTGTCTTGTAGCTGACTCGACATAACTTTAAAAACGATAGGTTGTTGATTTATGTGATAAATTAATTTGTTGATCAAAATCGAATAAATTATCAAGCGAATCACACAAATTAAATTAGATAATCACATGAAATTAAACTTACGCAAGGTCAGCAGCATAACCAGCGCCTAGACCAGTTTTTTTTGTTGGAGTATTTACTGAAACAAAAATCAAATCTGCTTCTATGACGGCCTTTTCTACATCGGTTGTAAAGAATAAATTTTCATTACGACGTGCAAATACAATCTCATCAAGACCTGGCTCATAAATTGGTAATTTATCAGAATTCCAAGCTGCAATGCGAGCAGGATTCAAATCAACAATGGTCACTTTAATATTCGGACATTTGTAAGCGATGACCGCACATGTAGGTCCGCCTAAATAATTCATTCAAAAGAATATATTTATAATTTTGAGAAAAATTAAAAAAAAATTATGATGTTGAATTATGGGTAGTTTTGACATTCTGAAGTGTTTAAATAAAGAAAATATTTTTTGCTCTTTTAACAAATCTTCCATCAGAGAAATTATATCGCAATTAATAAAATAATAAATTAATATATATAATAGATATCTACCAACATAACCAGCACCAAGGCAGCAAATTTTTTTTACTTGAGTCATAATTTATTAATTGAAAAATTGGAAATCAAAAAAAATTTTTTTTTTATGAATTTATATTTTTTATTTGACGGATGATGATGATGATAAACTGATACGATAACTATATTGCATGCATAATAATCAAATTGTCAAATCGTCAAGTTACACCAAGGTTCATTTTATTCATGATGAAATAAATGGTTTAATTCGTCAATTACTTTTCCTGCAGATTTTATTGTTGACTCGACAATCTCCTAAATTAATAATATTAATAATAATAATAATAACAAAGAATTACTATTTTGTTTTATTTTTAAAATTAAAAATTAGAAAGAACAAAATATACTTTTGCAGAAAGTTCTTCTTTAACCAATCCAACTCCACTTCCAGCATAAATTTCCTATTTTACAAAGCGCACAAAAAGAAAATTTTTTAAAGAAAAAAAAACCCCTGAAAAAAAACCCTCAAAAGAAGAACAACAGCAACTTACAACATATGAATAGTCTTTATTTTTAACACCACCAAAATAGTTTTTTTTAATTCTTTCGAATTCTTCTTTTTCTTTGTCGTTATCAAGAATAATATCTGTGGTTTGATTTCTTAAAGCTCTTCCATCAAATTCTCCAGGCCATGGAATATTTTTAAGTTTATCAAAAACCTTGGTTCTGATTGTATTATTATTGCCATCGTTTGTATTTATAATAAGGGATTTTGCATTATCAGGTGACAAACTTTCTTTCGAGGCAATAAACCTTGTACCCATAACAATCCCTGATGCACCGAGTGACAAAGCTGCCACTAAACCCCTTCCATCGCTTATTCCACCTGCAGCCAACACTGGTGGGATTGAATTGATTTTCTTATCCTGATGCAACTCTTTCAATTTATCAATTGATTCTGGTAATAATGTAATTAGATTGCCTCCTTTAACTGCTCCATGACCTCCTGATTCAGAACTTTGCACTATTAACACATCAACAGAAGAATAATTGGAAGAAGGGGTCGAGGTCATGTTTTTGACTAACATGTCGATACTTTGAATTTGTGAAATAATCTTTGTTTTAGGCGATGATTCTCTTACCAATTTCACATATTTTGAATAATCACCAAACGAAAACCAAATTGCTGCAGGTTTATATTTTAATATTGTTGAAAGTGTTTCAGGATGATTATCCAAATCAAATGTAAGTACCCCAACTCCAATTGGTAATACTAATAAATCACCCTCCTCTTTATTGTTTAAAGAGGATGATAACAATTCCTTTGCTTTAATTAAATCTTTTTCTATATCATCTGCACTCATATATCCTAATCATTAACAATAATATTTATCAAATATATATAATATATAACAGTATATATATAATATATATATATATTATATATACCTGCTGGAATTAAACCTAAACCTCCAGCTAAACTAACTTCAACAGCTAATTCAACACTAGTTACTCTTGCCATTGGAGCTGAAACAATTGGATATTTCAATCCAATTTCTTTAAACGTTTCCGTAAACTTAGTTTTAAACATTTTTTTTTTCAAAAAATTAAACAGAAAAATTAGAGGATTGTAACACAAACCCTTTTTATATTTGAAATGTTACACGAATTTTTTATATTTGTGCAACGTAACTTTCAATACACGGCAAACATTCTGGCAATAAAAAAGTAAGTGATAAACTAGATTTGAATTGGATCTGAACTTGATCTCCAATTTAGAGAGGTAACATAATAATAATGTTGAAGTTTCAGGAGCAATGGGTTCTGTATAACATTTCGTGTAGCAACAAACTTCCACTATGCTAAATTCGTGAATTGTAAATTTTGAAATTATCATCTTTATCAAAACATGAAGCCAGTTTATCCCATTATAATCTATAATCTAGTTGGTTTTCTTATTATATTTACTTTTGTGTAACTAGTACAAATTTAGAAAACTCGAATAATGGGATATGAAGGTTCAAGTGCATAGATAGATAGGTGTTGGCCGAAATTAGTCCTCTTAGTAATGGTACGGTGCAGATCATCTAATTGCTTATTGTAACAATTGGTCAACTTCAAAATACTAAAACAAAAAAAATTTATATCATTTTAAAAAATTTAACCGATAAGTTTTATTGTTCATGACTCAGGCTTTAAAACTTATCGGCTGGTTTTTTCTTAAACTGAAAATTGGCTGAGCCTTAGCATTTTGAAAATTCCGAATTTTGTTAT